CAAGCAATGATTAAAATGCATAGGAATGGCAACAGATAACCTAAGGACTCATCTCATCTCATTGCCATGGTTTTCCAGGATGCATTTGGGACATCGGAGAACACTGCTGAACAGTATTCCAAAACTCAGCTGTCTCTGAGAGAGAAGTGCGTTAGCTCACAGCAGCTAGAACACTGAACGGCTGCGTGAGGGCTTGGTGCTTTTGTTTCTTTGAAACAATGTGTTCTTTTTTTTTTTTTTTAATTTAGCCACTTATCTAGTTTATGACCCCATGATTCATGAAAGATATTAATAGCTTCTTAGTTAGGTAAAGGGGTTGTTAGTTGCCATGAAACAGGCTTTAAATTTCATCAGGAAAAGGTCTCCATAATTTTTGCTCTCTCTGCCACAACTTTTTCTATCTTTTACTTACACAAATGAACAATGACTGAATACTTTGGTGAAATCTTCTGTTCTGAAAATGGCTTTGTTAAGTGGCAATGATCTCAGGACAACACGATGCAGGCAGTTTTGGCCACAGAGTATGGCTTTCAATGATGTCAGTCAAGGTAACAGTCCAGCAACCTCCCGGTCTGTATAAAATGATGATCTCCAAGGAGCAAAAATGGATTACTTATGTATATTGCCTTTGCTTTAAATGTATTATATAAACCAAGGCTGGGGAGAGCACGTTATTTTGTGATTGAGTGCTTGCCTAGTATACTTGAGACATTGGGCTCAGACAGAAAAAAATATGTTGAGATAATTTTTCGCTTTTTCATTTTTTTTTTCATGGCAAGAAGCTTGTGCCACAGTGTGTATCTGGAGATCAGAGGGCAATTTGTGGGAATTGATGCTCTCTTTCCAACACATGGGTCCTAGCATGGCTCAAGACATCAGACTAGGCAGTAAGTGCCTTTACTTGCTGAGCCATCTCACTGTTTTTGAACTAGCTTTATATATTTGCTTTCGGAGAAATGTTAAGAAAAGAAGTCACAGTCAATGTATTGAGAATCTTCCGATGTGAGAATGATATGAAATCTGGGTGTATGCAAATAAGAAATAAACTATGGATTACTGACTTTACAGATCTGAAGTTGCTCTTCCATGGATATGCAGTGTTGTTTTCTGAGGAGACAAGGAGGTGGTATCTCCTCTTGCCCTCCCCTGCCCCTTCTCTGTCTCTGTCTCTCCTTCTCTCTCTCTCTCTCTCTCTGTATGTGTGTGTGAAGCTGAGGTCATGTAAAAACAATTAGGGTTATTCAGTTGAATTTCCATAAATGCCATTTTCTAAAAGCAAATACAGTCCCTGGGAAAAGCAAAACTTATGTCTGTAAAATACTTCCTATACAGTTATTATTGAGGGAACACATTGGTTAGATAGTTTATTATCATGGGAACAGAAGTGTAACTGTGGAGACAGTGTTTGATTGGGGTAGACGGGGGGCTTCCGGGCCCCTGCCTGCTCTAGGTTCCCAAAGCTGAAAGATGGATCCTGCTGCTCTCTCCAGACTTACTGTCTAACAGCCTTCACCTCTCATGTCTCCCACTAGCCAGAAGTTCTCAAGAAGACTGTCTTTGATAGCCACAGGTCCCAATCCTACCCTAGCACCACATCCATCCTCATGCTGATGAAGAGATGGCTTAGGCTGTTGCATCTGTTGTTGGGGTACTTTGTTACAGAGACAAAGAAGAAACCAAGACGATGGTTGACAGGAACTTGAATGGCAGTGCTCCCCAGAGGTACCTGCACAAGGTACATGTGACATGTATTGAGTTCAGGCCCTCCATCATCACTTGCTGTTTCTATTCCCAGATGAATCACTTTGGTCCTCTGAACCTCAGTATCTTTGAGTACTGAAATATTTCTATGAGCATTGATTTTTTTTTCCCCACTGTCATTACAGCCTAACCCTGTGGTCATGGTGCTGGGGGCAAAAAATCCACAGGCCTGTACCAGGTTCCTCACAGCACTGGAGTGGCCTCCCCTCTCATCTTTCTCTCAGCCCAGTCAGTTGGTCCTTGCCTTCTTTCTTCTCTAGTTTATTCCATATCTACCGACCCATTAGGGCTCATTCAACGACCACCTTCTCCCTTCCCCACTGAAAATCTTCTCCCTTCCCCACTGGCAGACATCTTTTCTACACCATGTTCTGAACTTCTCTGGTATTTACCATTTTCTTCTTGTGCCTCAGTCATTCTCTATTACTGCTCCCTCTTGTCTATGAGCTTCATGTGAACAAACCACCTGCTATTCAGTCTTATTTCCTCAGAGTGCCCAGTAGGATGCCTAGCACAAGTAGGTACGTAAATATAATACACCAACTATGTGTAGGACAGTTCTGTGTGCTTAACGTCTCTATTCCATTCTCCTCTGGAGATGAGATGGCATGTATAATGCATCTTTCCATTTGATCCATTGAAGGAGGACAAAAAGGATTTGCTGCAAGTAGCTATCTTACATCATGTCCAGAGAATGCCTGTAGATAGTTATAAAGGATGACTCATCACATGAGCCAACATAATAAAGCCTTACTGGGGGGCTGGTTACAGTGCTAAACTGGAAAACCGCTTAAATGGAGCAGAGGATTTCCCAAAGGTGGTGAACCCATGGTTATTGCCCCAAACACCTCCATCTTTACTACACTCCCTTAAATTGCATAGCACGGAGGGTCATAAATCGCAGTTGTGATTATTATTTGAAAGTGAGAGATGAGAAGCCCTTGAGAATGTCTATTGTCAGGTGTGAGGGATCTAAGCTGACTTTGCATCTCTTTGATAGAATCCAAGAATGAGGTTTAAACCAAGTTTGGCTTGTCCTGACAAATAGTGTGGTCTGGGAGGGTTGAACCTCTGTTCCACAATACCCTTTATATTGGTACCTCAAAGGGACTGCTATGTGTTTGCAAGACTCTTCACTTTTAGGGGTTTCATTCCAGATGAAAGGTTAACCTCGGGTGGCATTTCCAGGATTGTCCAGCAAGAAGATCCACGGAAGAAAGACTTCTCTGAGCAAAGAAGCCTGAGAACCCTGTACACCTGAGCCTTCTGCATGATCCTCTGGTGTCTGACAGGACAGCCAAAGATCAAGAGTCACCTGGGAAAGAAATCCAAGTCAAAAGTCTCTTTATGCTTTAACTATGGCTCCCTTCCTCCCTCGATGTTGAGATATACCTAGTAACATTCCAGGGGACTAGTTCATGGAATGCTGCCTTAAGTATTATTTGCTGATCATAATGGGAACAGTGGGAAATACATGAGGGGAGAGAAAGTCGAAGTAATAAAGAATGTTAAAGGTGATCCACAAGGCCATAATGCAAGCGGTGAAGCTTCCTAACCTAAGGACTGTCCTCATTTCTTAGTCAGGGTTCTTGACTTGTTCTTCCTCCAAATCCTAGTCATCAGCGAGTAACGTCACCCGACTGCAAGCGCCACTGCTGTTCTCCACATGATCTAACCTGGGGGAGCAGCGAAGGAGGGAGAGGCTGCATGACATTTGCTCAGATGGCTATAGAAAGAGGAAGGGAAGAAACAGAAAGAGAGAAAGGGAGAGTGAAGAGACAGGGAGACAAGGGGGAGTTGGGGATGGTAGGCCATGGGCAGGGTGCTGTAAAGGACACAGTGGAGATTATTGAGAGGCCAGCAGAAGTTAACAAACCCTCTCCCCGAAGCCAGGAGTCAAATAATAGCCAGGCTGGGGGCTCCCTTCAATGTGGAGAGGACTCCTTCTATCCCCTGGTAGAAGGGCACTTGTCCTGATAGGCAGCCTTATGTTCTTGGGCCTCTTGGGTTGCTGACAGGACTCTGTCTGGATCTTCTTAGAGGCCAGATGGCTTAGTCACATTGCAGTGGTTAACCAGAAACCCATAAGAGCAATGGAGAAAGGCCAAGGAATGTACAGAAGCCAGAACTGGAAGGGGCTGAGAAGGGGTTTTCTCTTATCTAGGATTGTCAGACGGTCCACTTTGTGCATGTGAAACAACTAGGAGACCTTTGGCAAACTAAGGCAGCTAAGCTGAACTCAAGATATGCAACACGCTTGGGGATTTATTGTGCTGGAAAGACATGGTAGGTACCTTCTGATTGCTTGTATCAGAGAAAGAATGAAAACTCCAAATGGTTTTTTTTTTTAAAGAAATACATATTATATATTCCTCAAAATGTGGAGATATGTTTGGAATAGCAGCTAGTATGAGAAGACAACCACTTTTCTAAGAATTCAAAATTTCAAATTGTTGTTCTATGATGCTGTTCCAGAATTAAATAATTATGAAAAGTGATTTTGCCTGGGACAAGGTTACTTATTCTCTGAGATAGGGGCCGGAATTCATTAGTAAGTACATTTTAAAGTAAATCTCAACTTAGAAAATTGCTCAGGTGACTCACCCAACCTCACAGAGCGGGAGCTTCATATAGACAAGCCTGGCGCCTGAAATGGTGGCTCTGGCCTATCAGATGCAGGTTCTTGAAGCTGAGTTGGCAGGGACGGCCTGAAGACACATGTCCACAGCATACTGCCTGAGAACTGGGTTTTAGGCTCCTTTAAGGTGTATACACTACTTTAGGTGTTTCATTGCCTTTGCACAAACAATAAATCCATCAGAACTTAATCTCCCTCCGAAATGCAGGGCATCTCGGGAGAGCGCTGGGGAACATGTTTCTGCTATGTTCCTGTGAGCATGTGGGTGCTGGTTTGTGCTTGCATTGCCGACACCATTTCTCTGCGTGTGTTAGATAATTGGGATGGTTTGATTGTTTGAATGGAATAACACAATTACCCATGGTATTGCACGTCTCTAATTCCAACTAAACACAATGGCAAAAACTAGACAAAAATGCAGAACTCAAAAAACAAAAACAAAAAAATAAAAAAAAAAAAACAAACCAAAAACCACACAATGTTACTGAGGTCATGCAAAGAAGAAAGTAAAGAGGTTAGAACATGGGCAAGCAACAGACACCGTAAATGAAAGAAGGAAAAGAAAAAGCCAAACGGCATACAATTCTGAAATCATTCTTACCTTCTTCAGTCATTGTGTCATAATATTTTAGTTTTCCATATGATCCAAGTTCTACAACATCACAGTAAAAGACACAAAGATAAGGAACGAGCTATAATGCAAGAACTTTGCTTTTACACATTCTTAATTAATCAGACTCAGAGTTACACTGTCAAATTCAGCGATCGTAACTATATGGAGATGTGCAAACACGAGCCATGTGGCAGACGGCTCCGCGGCCCATTTTCAGAATCACTGAAGATATATTATTCAACTGAGGGTGGGCTGGGCTGTGCATTATAGATTAGGACATATTAGTTTAACACTCAACAAAACAGAATACTTGGCAAAGGTGCTTCAGCCCAGGCCTTGCCTAACCTCACAACTTTTATAAAGGTGACACACTGCAGGAGAAAAGGACTGAGCAAGAACAGCCATCTCGAACCGGAGAACCTTGTAGACCACTGGCTGTGTTCAGCAGCCCAAAAGTCACTACATGGCTTTTCAAAGCCCCCGACAGAATCATTTCTTAGAGAATAAGGAGGCTACCTGGAGAGACGCTTTAGGAACAGCCCAGTTTTAACTCTCCTGTCACTGAGAATCTCATATTTTAGATAAAACACGGAGTGTCATGCTTGCAGGATGCTGGAAAAGCTGCCAGAGGCACTCAGGGCACTGGGAGTGCCAGTGAGGCATCTTCCCAGGGAAGCCCACCTGGCTTGCAACATGTGAGAGAGTAGCACAACTTGGGGGTCAAGGCATGGCCTGCTGTGGAGCAAAGAGCAGGGGCAGGGGACCAGTTTTCTGGCTTGTGAATGTAGAAAACCCATCTGTACAGGGGACCCATCTGTACTGGAGATAATGGTGAGTCAAGGATGTTAGGGTCAGCTGGGGGCACGTGACTAGGTTAGGAGAGGGGCTAGGGATGTATTTCTTTTTCTTTTCTTTTTCTTACTCTAGTTTCAAAACAGAAACTTTGATTTTATTTTTTTTTGTTCTTTTCAAAATCCCAGATTATTTTGAGCAATGTTGTAAGAAGATTAAAAATGTTGTTCTTGGTCATTATAACATTCTCCCCATAAACTTCAAGAGATTAATTAGACTCCAGAGACACTTTTGGGACTCCACAGAATTTGTCCATGGTCCACCGCCTTGGACAGATGCTGAAAACCCACATGTGAAGCCACTTGTAATTGATGAGTCTGTGTGAGATGCAGGAGCCTGCCTGAACCAGATGACAAGCATTCCTGCATGGGGTATTTATACCATACATTCTCTTCTCTATATAGTTCTCTCTCCATGTCTAATTTTATCTAAAGCTATTTTAACACACCAGTGTAAAATTATGACTGTGGGGAGAAAAACCACCCCATCTATAAGTTTTTACGAATCTCATCTATTTTTCTCTTTGTTGGAATCATTACAAAAGATGCAGGTGGCTCAATGAGAAGTTGAATTTTATGTAAGCAAGAATTTGTGTGTCGGTGTGTGTGATTTCTGGGTATTTCTTTTAGAGAAATATTTTTTCTGTTATTTTAAAAACATTTGGTGTGCATGTGTATGTATGTGTGTTTACATAAGAGTAGAATTCTTGTGGTCTACATAGTTCATAAATATTAATCCTATGTTCATAGCGGCTTTATGAAATAGGCATGCACGTGTGTACTCTTGCGGTAAATTGATAAATTCTGTCAGCCAACAAATAGTTTTTTTTGTAGGCTCCTTTCCTTTTGCCAGGTAAAGCAGAGGGATAAACAGCTGGAACCCACCATTAGCTGCTCAGGAAACAGGGTGTGGTGGCTCTGTGTCACCCGTGTTTTGCACAGTGATGACATACCACCGTGTTAGTAGGTCCATCTTTTCAGATGCGAACCTTTCTGTACGCACACACCCATTTCCACATGTCAATTTCAACCTGTGAAACATTTGTTTGTGGCAGATGATATTGTTTTGCACTTTATCTCTAGTGGAACCATGTTTCATAAATACAGTCGCATTATTTAATTGTCACTCTATGTTGACACAGAACAGGAGCTGTTCACATATAACCTCAAACATTCTTGCAATGTTAGATTGTTTCTGAGATGCTCCCTCGAATGATGAATGGTACACAGGAACAAGAACAGGACACACTTCATGGGGAAAAAAAAATAAGGCAAACAATGGGGAACGAGGGCCATGAAAGGCTGTACAGCGACAGTTTACATGGCTAGTCAAGCAGTAGGAAGGAGGAAGCTGAAGGGAATAGTATCCACTCATGCAGAGGGGACCATGTTTTCAGGAGAGGATGGAGGACGTAATCAGCTGATTGAAACATAGTCTTCGTCGTTGGTAGCCACGGGATGGTGAGATCGTGGGTTCAGCAGCCACATCCCGAGGGAACCAGGGCAACACCTTCATGAGCCAGACAATCCCGTTCCCTGATCCTGGGGTTGTGGGTCATGCAGGATGAGGGATGCAACATGCAAGCAGGACAAACACAGTGTGCATGCAGAAGCCAGAGTTCCTCACATATCTGGTTATTGTCTTATAGGACAGGGATGCTGCACCCTGCCCACCCCCCCAAAAAAAAAAAAGTGGCCTCAGCCACTGTTTGTTGACAGCATGTGGCCAGGCCTAACCTGGCTGTAAGGTCCCAGAAGGCATAATGAAAACTCACCTGTACAAGAATTTGACTTCCCAACCACCCACCACTCAGTCCATGACACCTTCTCAAGCCACCTTCAACTTGTTTTTTTTTAAACTTGTTTTTCATCTATCTATCTATCTATCTATCTATCTATCTATCTATCTATCTATCTATCTATCCTATCTATCTCTAGCTGTATATCTATCTCTATCTTTTTATCATCCATTTACCTCTATCTGTATATCTACATATCTTTCTATTATCTATCTAATCTTTTTATCTGCATATCTATCTTTTTATCATCTATCTTTCATAATCTGATTATCATCTATCTATATCTATTTATCTGAATATCTATCTCCTTCTATCATCTATCTAATCTATCTTTATCTGCATATCTATCATTTATTTATTTACATCTATCTATCTATCTATCTATCTATCTATCTATCTATCTATCTATCTATCTATCTATCTATCTGCTTTTCTTTGTGTAGCCCTGGCTGTCCTGGAACTTGCTCTGTAGACCAGGCTGGGCTTGAATCCACAGATCTTCTTGCTTCTGCCACCCCAGTGCTGCAATTGAAGGTGTTCATGACCACTACCCTGCTACCTTCAACTTATTTGGATTAGGAACCAACTGAGAGTCTCTTGACGAAAAGAGAGAAGAGTCTTGGAAAGCTTAGGAGGTCACTGTTTGGTCCCAGCTATCAGCGTTCACTGTAGCAGTTGAACAAGAGGCAGCAGGGATTTGAAGAGTGGTGTGTTATCCTTGTTTCCATTCTGGGAATCACCTATTGCCTCTTCTTGGAAAGGTTTCTCTAAGAACACTATGTGGCCTGGCGGGGGTGGGGTATGTAGTCCAAACCCATTGGTTTGTGTTTAGGATGAAGCTAAATCTGACCATGGATGCTTCCTAGCACAGTGCTATACAAACTCACTGACGTATGCTTTCAAGGAACTTAAGAAATGACCACTGATGTTCCCATTACAGTGCAGAGCTGAGGACCCAGGATTCAAATTGTCTATACATCCAAGGAACTGAATGCTCCATTTTTCCTTTTACCACCCTGATCCAGGCTTGTCAGCAATTTTCTCAGCTGACTTTAAGGTTCTGGTCTCTGAGCTCTTGTCTGTACTCCACACTGAACAAAATCAGAGTAAGGGTTTTGTTTCCAATTTTTAAAAAAGAATCAGTGAGTAAAAATTAGTATTTGGGGCTCATGGTTTCTTCCTTTCTCAAGAAACACATGAACACAGGTTTACCCTTCCTCAGCTTTATTCTGAGGCCTTTGGCATTTTTCATCCCAAAGCTTCCCCCAAACCTTAGAGATAGGAACAACAGAAAAAGGACCTCTCATGTCTGGCGTTTTAAAATTGAGGTGTGTGAAATGGAAGGTCAATAGAAGGGTCTATGCTGAGTTCATTTGATTTGAATGAGAACTAGAGGTGGAGAAATAGCAAGAACACACATTTATTATTTAGGTGTCATCTGACAGAAAAAAAAATTAATGACTAGTTCTTTATTCTTTTCAAAGACTTAGCTTCATTTCTGGGTATGGGTTTGACCTTTTCATGACAATCTGAACATCAAGGCTTTCTTAGTCTTGACTGCAGTTTCTTGGTGAAGCTGTCCAGCGTTTATCAAGATGTATGCATGGGTACTGGCTTGCACCGGAGTGTTATGTTTGGCATACAGTGCAAGGGAGAAAATGGGATTTGAAGATGGGATCTGCTGCTTAAGAGACGTGTGACTCAGAGCAAGGCATGTCCGCTTTCTGAATGCTGGCATCCTCCGCTGTGGAACTGCATGGGAATTGTTCCATCCTACAAACATAGTGGCACTGAAGGGCATGCAGGAAGACCCACAGGAGGCAGAACATGAGAAGCCATCATTATTGCAAGTGCCACAAAGATGAGAACCGCTAGGATGTGGAACAAGGCAGTGAGACAACTTGGGACCTTATCCAAGCTTGTTAAGACGAATTCAATATGACCAAGAGGTTTTAAATAGACATTTGTTGTTCAATAGCAAAGGATATTCATCATGTTGGGGCCAATATTTAAAAACATCTCTTCATTAATCCTGCACATCTGCTCTCAGGTTTAAGGAAAATCAAAGCACAGACCAAAAGGAGATAGAGGATGTGAATGTGGTCCTTCTTCATCTGACTATCAGAACAGATAGGAGCCTGGACATTTTTCCCCTTTGAGCATTTGCCAGCGAGCTGGTTTCTGGCTAGCTTGTCTTATGTTGGGAGCAAAGACACTATCTCACATTAAATCTGTCTAAAACAGAAAACCCACATCCTCCCACCACATGCTCAGCTCTCCTCACTTCACCAGATAAAAATATTCAAATGCACAGCTCTGCAGCGACAGTGACATTCAGGATGCTTTGGTGTGTTGAGCTTTTCTGGACCTGATAAAACCAAGAAGGTCA